TTCCCTCAGATTTGCATCGAATATATGTCTAATATATACTTGATATACCTCTGATATACAACTAATATACCACTGATATAATTATGATATTTACTGATATAACTTCTTATATGATTATACGATTTGCCATTTATTGATTTATTACTGATATAACACTAATATATGTCTGATATGTACTTGATATATCTTTGATATACCACTGATGTACCAATGATATACAACTGATTTACTTTCGATATAACTATGTATCTACTTATATAACTCCTTATACGATTATATGATTTATCATTGATTTACCACCGATATAACACTGATATATGTGGGATATATACCGAATATACTTCTAACTTATCAATGATATCTCACTAATATACAACTAATGTACGACTGATATAACTTATTATATGATTTATTATGTATAAATTTTACCACTGATATATTTGTGATACTTCATATGATTATAATATAACTATGATATCTACTATGATATTTGTGCGTTGATATAATACTAATATATCTACTAATTTTTTTTCCTATGAAATAAGGGTGCAAACAAAGAGAATGAAATATAAAGTCACTGATATAACTTCTGATATGATTATATGATTTACTATTGATTGATTTTACCTAATATATCTTTTGTACCTTTTGTTGCCGTCGGGCTCCTGTTTGATTCTATATACCCATTTATTCTGCAAAGATTTCTTACCTCTTGGTAACTCAGCAAGTTGTCATGTCTGATTGATCATTAGAGAATTCATTTCATCTTTCATGGCTAACTTCCACTTAACAGAGTCTTCCAGCTGAACCGCCTCTTCATAACATTCAGGTTCACCTCTGTCATCAGTAAAATGTAATTCAATGTATTCCTCATAACAAGTTCACCTCTGTCATCAGTAAAATGTAATTCAATGTAGGGGAATACCTCTGTGGTGGTTTGATTGTTCTGCTAGATCTTCTAACTATTGGTGGTGGTGTTCTCTGAAACTGATCAGTTTCCACAACTGGTTCATTAGATTCCACAACCTGTTCATCAGATCCTACAACTGTTTCTTTAGGAGTAATTGTATTCTAATCTTCAATCTCTGTTGTTTTAGTCTCAACTTCAGGAGGACTTATATACTGAGTCTTCTCTGTGCTTCCATCTAACTCTGTCTTTCCTGAATCAACTTTATTTATGTCTTTGTATAAGACTTCTCATTGAAGACCACGTTCTTGCTTCTGATAATCTTCTTGTTTTGGTCATCCCAAAATCTGTAACATATCTCAGCTCCACCATACCCAATAAAGAAACATTTCTTGGATTTGGCATCCAATTTACTCCTGTCTGCAGCATTAATGTGAAGGTAAGATACACAGCCAAAAACCTTTAGATGGGAAAGGTTTACCTGTTTACCAGTCCAGACTTCTTCAGGCAATTTGAAGTCTAGTGATGTGGTTGGGCTCCTATTGATCAGATAGGTCACACAATTGATTACCTCTGCCCAAAACATCTTAGACAATTCTGCATGTATTCTCATGCTCCTAGCACGCTCATTCAGCGTCCTGTTCATTCTCTCTGCCACATCGTTCTACTGTGGTGTCCCTGGAAGAGTCTTTACCATCACAATTCCACTATCTTCACAATATTTCTTGAATTCCCTACTAACATACTCACCACCATTATCTAACCTCAAGCTTTTGATTTTCAGGCCTGTCTCATTCTCTACCATAGTCTTCCATGTTTTGAAAACAGAAAACACATCAAACTTATGTTTAATAAAATAAGTCCATACCTTCCATGCTTGAGTCATCTAGGAAAGTTACATAGTATCTGGAACCTCCAATGAAAGAAACTTCAGAAGGCCCCCCACACATTGGTGTGAACCAACTCCAATTTTCCAGACTTTGGCGTTGAACCTGTCTTTGAGAAACTGACACGACTCTATTTCCCAAATATGCATCCTTTGCATAACTTGTGTTCCACTACCTTAAGTCCTTCTAGCTTCCCTGTAGAGTAAAGAATTTTCATAAATTTTTCACTTATATGTCCCAGCCTACTGTGCCATAATTGGGTCTGACTCGAATGATCTACAACAGTTATCATATCTTTGTCGTTGTCGTTGACATACAAAGTTCCTTACTTTCCAAGGAAAAAGAATCAAATAACCAATTTATCAGTTCTATCAAAATCAGTTCCAATTGTTGCACAGTACGAAAGATAAAAAAAACACTTAAATCAGTTCAATAATCAGTACGAAAAATCAGTTCCATAAAAAATAACCAATTTATCTTCTCCAGTCATCGTTCTTCAACCTTGAGCTCTGATACCAATTGTTATGAAAAAATGCAACCTGCACTTAAAAGGATTAGATAAAATAATATAAAACTTCTAAGTAACAAGAACGATAAATAAAGACTAGGGATAAGAAAAATTAAATGCCGGATCTATACTGGTTCACCCAATGTGGGCTACATCCAGTTCTCTGCTACCACTGTAGGATCTACTAAAATGTCAAGAAGAATCTCCCAAGAGTTTACAAGCCCCTTACAATGATTTCTCTCAGTTTTTCCTCACATAGAAAACGCTCACGAATCACTCTACAAGTCTTTCAAACTCTTGAATGCATACACAAGTATTTAGCTCTCAAATTCTCTCTTCTTTGAGAATTTCTCACAACTCCCTATTTGTGCATACCAATGAAATGACCCATCTATCTCTATTTATAATAGATGGTATGACAAAAACTAAAAGGGAATGGGAAAATAAAAAAGTCCAAACTAAATAGGACAATGAAAAATTTAAATGGGCATTTTCCTATTGGAAAAAGATTTTCTCCTTGATTTGTCTCCATAATCCCAACACCAACATATCTGCTAATGCCAATGGACGTCGTCGAACCTCACATTTGTAAGGGAGCAGCATGGTTGTGCCACTGTGGGTCCGTTGACGAAAATGCTGTTACTCATGGATGGATATCAAATCTAGTTCATGGAGGAGACGCAGCTACCACAGGTTTTTGCTCGAGTCGTCGGTGCCACTGGTTTGAGGTTTTATCTAAAATGCTATACTGATCGATGATTTGCTCTGGTCGAATCAACGCGGTTCGTGTTCGTGGTGATGAAGGCTGCACCACTATGGGTTACTGCCGTCGTGCCGCTCTGCCCATGGTCATCAGAGGTAGTTGTCGGTGAGAAAGAGTCAATGGCGGCTGGGAACACCAAAGGAATGGTGGATGAGATTGAAAGGGAGAAGGAGAAGATGGAGGGAGAGAAGATGAGTATCTTTCTTTTTTCTTATTTTAGAAGAGAGAGAATCTCATATTTCTTAAAAAAAATATGAACCACCCATGAACCAGACCGTGAACCGAACCAGCATATCATTTAATACTTTGTGTGGTTTAATTGAGTGAAATTTTCCTTTTGTGGTTTATAATCTCTCTTGTTTTCTATGTTTCAGAACTGTCGATTGGCTGGAGATTCCCTTGGCATTATTGTCGGAGAAGTATTTATGCAAATATCACGATTGTGGGGATTGCCATCGGAAAGAATTTGAAAAATGGAAAAAGAATCGAGCAAGTTGAATAGGTTGTTTTGAGATGCAGCTTCAAATTGCGAAGAATAAGAAATGAGGTAATGAAGTATCTCAATTTAAGTTTAATCTCATATCTTAAATTAGTGTGGTTATTGAGATTTGTAATTGGTCATGAATTTTCATTAGATTGAAAATTATTTTATTTATATTAATTTGAAATATAATTTTCTTACTTATTACTTTTTGGAAATATGAAATGTGTTGTGTAAAATCCAATTATATGTGTTGTTCAATTAAATTGGAGGTATGTTTAAGATTTTCTTAGTGGTGGTTTGAAATCTTGCCTTACCATAGTTGAATATATAGTTTTATTTTGATTGAATATATAAAATTATTTGTTATGAATATTTTATAGTGATCACTATGATATCAAAAGAAATAAATGATACATTAAATAGTGCATAATTGTCGCAAAAATTATTTTCCTTTTGAAGTTATATATTACTATAATCATGAGTATAATAAATGTATATGATTGGTTAATTACTCATGTGCATCTGAGGTCAATTAACGATGTGATGTTGTTATTTAAATTATTTAGCAAACTGCCGGTGGAGAAACTATACTTCATGGAAATCAACAAACTGCCATATGGATTATTCTACCATACTTATGTGTAGAAGTGTAAATAATTTTTATTTCACGGAATATGTTATGATTGTGGATGAAATATGTACTAATATTATTACATTGTGATTCACAATCTGTCATAGGGATTGCCAAAAAATGTTGTGTACAATGGCAAGAAAATGCATATATACTTGAGAAATGGAATTGTGAATAGTTATTAGAAGATGGAGATCTATTTGGAGTCTGTGAGGCATTAAATCTAGGTAAGGAACTTTGTGGCGATACCGTTCACAATAGGTTCTTGAAATTCAAGTGCTGCCTGGTAGAATGGACCAAAAAAACAGGAGAAAATGGTGAGCTAACAACTCAATGAGTGCTAGAATATTAAGCAGGAATCGAGCACTATGTTTAAATGAAAATATGTATATATAACAACACTATTTTTTTTAGTTAAGTACTTATTACATACTGGTTGTAGCGAGCAGCTTTAAATACATATATCAATGGTAAGTTCATGTAAAAAACTATCTATTAATTAAGCTATAATATGAGTGTAGTATTCCTCATCATCTTTGTGCCCAAACTACTCATGCGGGCATAAACATTAATACACACAGTTGAGTAACTGGTCATACTATACACGGAAGATCTCAACGGGTATAGCAGAGAAAACTGGTCATACTATGCGTGAACTTTACGCCCACTCATAGCGGAGCAACTGGTCATGCTACATACCAAAAGATTTCAAGGTGTGTAGTAGAGCAATTCTGGTCTTACAATGTATCGCTAATCTCAAGATACACGGCAGAGAAAATCCTGGTCATGCTACGTATCAATAATCTCAAGATACATAACAGAGCAAATTCTGGTCTTGCTATATATCAATAATCTCAATATACATAACAGAGCAAACTAATCATACAACACGTCGAGAACACTCCCAAACGCGAAGCAGACAATCCATTCATACATATACTATAGGGTAAATTTATATATGTGTAGTGGAAATCACTATGGATATACAATCTAGTCATTGGAATTTGATTTCCACCATGACACTCATTTTCACAAACAACACTATAACCACGATTGTTCTAATGTCATCAACTTGCAATCTGACGTCATAGCCATAGTTCATTAAAAATCAATCGTTGTTCTTTATTCTATGGAATCAACAGCTTTACCACTATCGTCATTTCAAATTTATGAATAATTGTAAGTGTCAAACATAAATTGAACTTTGTCAATCATGCAAAATCCATAAATTGCTAGATTCAACTCTTAATAGACCCAACCAATGGTAACTATGTCATAGTAGATGAAAATATTTCATAAAGTAACCACTCACAAGCCTATTGGCATGAGGAATTAAGGTTGTAAGCCGTTCCGATCTCTACATCACCTGTAACATCAATTTTAACACTAACATTTTAACACTAACATGAATAAATCTTAATAGCAATTTTAGGAGAATAAATTCTAAACTCACTCCATACTTATTCTCTTCCATGACAATTTGTTTGAACAAAAGTGTAATTCCTAATTTCGTACCAATACGTCTTTTTTTTTCTCCTCATTTAGTTTTATGGCAAAAGACTTACTTTTATCACAAAATTTACTCCTCATTTCTCAATGGATTCTTCTTCAATTTACCAATATCTACCATTTAACTCATCTCCTTACCTAACTCAAATTTACCCTTCCATGAAAAACATCAACACATTGGGAGTAAGTTTACCCTCGTTTCTTCTTTTACACTTCCTCCCAAACAAAGATTTCAAAAAAAAAAAAAATAGAACCCAAGGAGTTATTTGAGCAAAAGGAAGAAAAACCCATATTTACTTTCCTTGAAAAATCAACTTACCGACCCTCAAAACGTTGCCTATTAACTTCTAGATCCGTTTTCCGGCGTTATCCACGCTTTTTCGGCCACTTGGAACCTTGTTTCTTCCCCTTTCCTTTCTTCTTCTTCTCCCGTGACTTCCCTTTCTTCTTCCTTTTTTTTTTGTCTTTCTCTCTCTTTCCTATCTTCTTTTCTCTCTCTTACTCCCCACCTTTGACGTTTTTTTTTCTTTCTTTCTATTTATTTATTTATTTATTACTTCTTTTTAACATTTTCCATCATCTTTATCATTTCTTCCATTTCTAAAAAAAATATCTAGTTGACCACATTTTTAATTAAATAAAATTTTATAACAAAAGAAGGGTATTATAGACATGCTCTGGACGAGTTTTATCCCCCACTTAAATGGTTGACGTCCCTATCAACCGACGTTGCTCGAACTCTGCGATCTGGGTTGATGCTGATTTCAAATCTTCTACGCGCTCCCAACTGATTTCTTCATTTGGAAGCCCTGTCAATTTGACTAAGAATTCATGTACGTCCCTTCTCGGTCGTCCGACTTGACGAGTTCTTTCAGCTAGGATTTCTTCAACTTCTTTTTCTATCTTGTTGTTCAAAATGACCACTGGTCGAATCACTTTGTTACGTGTGGGGTCGATGCTGTCCGGGTGATAGGATTTCAAATTGCTCATATGAATCACTGTGTGAATTTTCATCCATGAGGGTAATTGGACCTTGTACGACATCTTCCTGACCTTCTGAATAACGTGGACTGGTCCCTCGTACTTCCACTCAAGGCGTTGATTTTTGTTACCTCGGAATCAGAGCTGTTCCGGACCTAATTTAATGAGCACTTGATCTCCTGCTTGGAATTCTAATGGTCTGCGCTTCTTGAACATCTGTGGATTGTCGCCATTCTTTGGTGAAGTTGTATGCTTGGGGGCTCTTTCTTATGTAAGGATGGTCGATGATGTGAGGTAACACAGGTAAGCGCTCTCATACTATTTCGAAAGGAACCTTCCCTGTAGTAGTACTCTTCTGAAAGTTGAAACAAAACTGGGCTGCATCAAGCATCTGTATCCAGTTTTTCTGTCGAGCATCAATCAAGTGGCGGAGGTATTCCTTTAACGGGCTATTGAAGTGTTCTATCTGACCGTCGGTTTGCAGGTGGTAGCTTAAGGATATGTTCAAGTTCGAGCCAAGTAACTAAAATAGTTCCGTCCAGAAGGTCCCTGCGAATCTTCCATCTCTATCAGTCACAATGCTTTCAGGGACACCCCACAGTTTCACTATGTTTTTTTAAGAATAGATGCGTCTGTCATCTCTGTGGAACACATCTTTGGAGTTGGGACAAAGGTTGCATATTTTGAGAATCTGTGGACAATAACAAGGATATCTTCAAATTCTTCAACCTTGGTTAGGTGGGTAATGAAGTCCAGGGATACGCTCTCCCAAGGCCTTGACGGTACTATAAGGGCCTCTAGTAAGCCCGCAATTTTAGTTCTCTCAACTTTGTCTTGTTGGAAGATGAGACACGTCTTGGTGTACTGCATAACGTCGTCTTGTAAGTTCGGCCAGTAGTACCCTTTCTTCAGTAGGGCATAAGTTCTCTGCCACCCAGCATGGCCAGCCCACATGGTGTCATGACATTCTTCCATCAAGAGTTTCTTCAGGTTTCCTGCTCGCGGAACGTAGAGACGATTGCCTTAGGTAAAAAGGAGGTCGTCTTCGACCTAAAACTGACAGGTCTTCCCAGCCTTTGCTAGCTGAATGATTGTCTGTGCTGTTGGATCGTCTTTCAAATGTGTCTTGATAGCTTCATAGACAGACCCCCTCAACTTGCTTGCTTTCAGATGAGCTAACATGCACAGGGCCGCATGTTCGCTCTTTCGACTAAGGGCGTCTGCTGCTTGGGTTGATCGACCAGGCCTATGTTCGAATTGGAAGTCGAATTCGACGAGGTACTCTTGCCATTGGGCTTGCTTCGAGGACAACTTTGACTGATTGAAGAAATGACATATCGAACTGTTGTCGGTCTTGACAACAAACTTGGAACCTAAGAGATATTGTCTCCAGGCTCTCAGGCAGTGGACTACTGCTAACATCTCTTTCTCGGAGGCTACATACCTCTTTTGTGTGTCGTTCAACTTTCGGCTTTCATACGCCACTGGGTGTCCATCTTGAAGGATAACACCACCTAGGGCGAAGTCTGAGGCATCAGTTTCTACCTCAAATGGCTTGGTGACATCTGCGGTACCAAGCATTGGTCCTTCCGTCATGGCTTTCTTCAATTTATCAAAAGCCGCCTGACATTCTGGAGTCCAACTCCAAGTATTACTCTTCTTCAGGAGTTCAGTTAATGATCCTGCCTTTTTATAGAATCCTTCGACAAATCTTCGATAATAGTTTGCCAGCCCGAGGAAAGACCGTAGTTCAGTGAGGGAACTCATAACTTTCCAATCTTGAATAGCCTTGACCTTTCCGTCTTCCATGCCAATTCGGCCACACTCGATCACATGGCCCAGGAAGTTGATGCGCTTCTATGCAAAGGCACATTTATCTCTCTTCACATATAATTCATTCTATCTCAGCTTCTCAAAGACCAGCTGTAAGTAGATCTGGTGTTCCACCATGGAAGAACTGTAGACTACTATGTCATCGAGGTAGACTACCACAAACTTATCAAGATACTCATGGAACACCTGATTCATTCGAGTGCAAAACGTCAATAGAGCATTGGTAAGGCCAAAGGGCATAACGAGGAATTCGAAGGCCCCATATCTCGTGACACAGGTTGTCTTGGGCTCGTCTCCCGCAGCAATGCGCACTTGGTAGTATCCAGACCTCAAGTCTAGCTTAGAAAAGTACTTGGCCCTGTGGAGACGGTCAAATAGATAGGTGATGATGGGCAATGGGTACTTATTGCTCACCGTGAGTTTGTTCAAGGTGCGGTAGTCGATACACAGGCGGAGACTGTCGTCCTTCTTCTTTTGAAAAAGGACTGGGGCCCCACAGGGAGCCTTTGCCGGACGGATGAATCCTGCATTCAACAAGTCATCCTGCTGCTTCCTGAGTTTTGCTAACTCGAAAGGGGCCATGCGGTAGGCATTCTTAGCGGGCGATTTAGCCCCTGTGACAAGTTCAATTACATGGTCGATTCCCCTATGTGGCAGTAGGGACTTTGGCAGACTGTCGGGCATAACATCTGCGTAATCAGCTAGGACTTGTTGGATCTCACTAGGATCACTTTTTTTACTGCTCTCTTCTTCGATTACTGGAATGGTCATAAGTGTTGGTTTGTCGTGAGCAAGCCCCTCTTCAGCTGCAGAGCTGATATCATCTAAGCCTACTTGGTTATTTTATGCTCGTCAGAACAACAGTGGGATCAGACCCAGTAACAACTAAACACTTTGCTAGGGGCATAAGGATGACTTTGTGCTCTAGAAGGAATTCCATTCCAAGCACGACGTCAAAGTCATCCATTCTAACAATCACAAAATCTACTTTGCCGCTCCATGTCCCGATCTTCAGTTGGACGCTTTTTGCTATCCTTACGATGGGGAGGACCGCGAAGTTAACTACTTTCATCTTCCCTGGATCCTTATCCCATTGTAAATTCCGACAGCGAGCCTAGATTTCAGCCATGAAGTTGTGTGTGGCTCCAGAATCCACCATAGTACTCTTAGCAGCTTTACCGTGAACCAACACGTCCACATACATGAGCCCTCTCTTTAGCTGTTTTTTTGCTTCCCCTACTTTCTTCTGGAGAGCCGACAAAAATTTCAGTGCCCCAATGCAGAGGTTATCAGTAGGCTCTTCGGTCGGTATCTCTGTCTCGACAACTTCATTCTCGACCTCAGGACCATTGGCTATTGTAGCTTGGAGTTTCTTCAGGGCAGCTCGATGCAGGCAGTCGCTTATGCGATAAGCCCCTTTACACAGAAAGCAAACAAAGGGTCCTCGATTGAAGTTGTTCTGTTGGTTTTGCCCTCGCCAGTTGGTTCCACCCCTCTGATAGGGTCTGCGGTCTGCTCCTTCATTCCTGCCTCCTCCCCCACTTTTGGGTGAGTTTGTTCTGGTGGGTTTGTTCCCACTACTCGAAGAGGGTTGGTTCCTTCTGTTGTCTTGTGACCGATCATTATAAGATCAAACAGGCTTTCAGCCGCAGCATAAGCAGAGCAGAGGTCTTGAACCTCTTGATCATACAACTTGAACTTGGCCCATGGTTTCAAGCCTTCCACTAATAGAAGACTTTGTCTTTCTCTGACATGTCTCGTATGTCCAACATCAGTGCCGCGAACTGTTTCACGTAGTCTCTAATGTACCTAGTGTGTCTCAACTCTCGCAGTTTACGTCTCGCTAGAATCTCAACATTCTCCGAAAAGAACTGTGCCCTTAGAGCTTTCTTCAACTCATCCCATGTGTTTATAGTGCATCGACCCTCTTGGATGTCCATATACTTGGACCTCCACCAAAGCTTTGCATCTTCAGCTAGATGCATGGTTGCCAAAGTGATCTTGGCTTCTTCTGTCGTTGTACTCATAGCTCGAAAGTATTGTTCGACGTTAAAGATGAAGTTCTCGAGGGCCTTGGCATCGCAAGTTCCGCCAAAGGACTTAGGCTCTGGAATCTTCACCTTGTTAAACTGGACATTGCCTCATGCTGGGCCTTGGTTTCCCACCACTCTCATGGTGAGGTTCACCTTCATGTTTATCTCGGCGACTTCTGCCAGCACGACTTCTATAGCAGCTCGAAAGTCGTCGAAAAGGTCGCTGACCATCTGCATGATCGCTTTCTGGGAGCAATCTAATTCTTCAACTCGCTCCTCTACATGAGCAACAAAGCTTGTCGAGTTGTCCTCTCGCTCGAAACTAGTCATTTTCCCAGCTTTGTTTTCTAGGGTCTCAACCTTAACCAACAACTCTTTCACTGGCAATGCGTCAATTCGAGCATTTGTCGCATCGATTCCATCGGCTTTGCTAGCCAACTCTTCTAGCCTATTTTCTAAGAACCGAACATGATCAGGGACTTCTCTTAAGAACAATAGTTGTTCCTCAATTTGCACAAGTCGTTCGACATGTTTCTTGTTCAACTGTTTCACTACCGACATGATTACTGATCTCGATCCGAGGAGCCAACTAGGCTCTGATACCAACTGTCACAATCGCATCTTTCAAAGGACTCCCAAAGCGATTGTGCGGCACTTGCTCATGCCCACACGCAAGTCAGCCAATGAGAATCGGATAATCGGCGACACCACGACTATATATCGCAACTTCGACCCTCGTTCTCGAGAAAACGGTTTTAGAAAACGGAGTTAGAGGAAAAAGGTTTGGAAAACGTTTGAAGACATTTTGGAAAGCTTGTTGTATGCTTGAATGCAAGAGAATAGATTAGCGGCAAGACAAGAATACAACTCGATGTAGGGAGGAGACTAGGTGTATCCCTCTATAGTACATTATAAAGCATTTTGCCTCTGGCAGACGTGAACATGCAAAGTGGCGAGAAGTCACTCGCCACCAAAAGTACAATGAAAAGTAAATAACATGCAAAAGTAAATACATGGTATAAAAGTAGGAGGGAAGAGGGTATTATAGGCATGCGACCATGGGCGACATGCTCTGGACGAGCATGACCATGACACTTCGCAATCTGAACGGTAGTAGATGACTCTCAATGCTCCAAAGGCTCTTAATCTTCAATGCTTCTGGATCTTTTAGAATGTCTCAAATGAGAGGTGACTCCCTCTATTTATAGAGCTTGGTGGGTCTTGTATGGGTCATGAGCTTTAATGGGCCATGGGCGTGGGCCCAATCTCCTTATGGGTTTTGATTCAATTAGTTGATTTCAATCGGACGGCCATAAGAGAGACATGTGGCATGATTAGATTCGTCGATTTTAAAATTAATTTAGGACACGTGTAATTTTATCATTGGTCATAAATGTAATTTTAATTTTGTGACGTGACATTTAGTAATTAGCCAAAATTTCTCATTCGACAACAACATCAAAGGAATAACATTATGATTCCGATTGATTTTCATTCCAATTCATTCACATTACGATTGCGGGTAAGTAAACGGAGTTTTAGTTTATTGATGTTTTGTTATTTTCCCATCTATAATTGCTTGACATTAAATTAGGTTTTTTAACTATTTAGGTCCGTTTGGTAACGTTCTCATTTTTTTTCTGTTTCCTCCTTTTTAAAAAAAAAATAAAATAAAATTGCATGGCACTGACCACATAGATTCAATAATAATAAAATAGTATTTTTTTTATGTTTCGGAATAAATTATAACGGGAACAAGAAACACGAAACTTGTTTTTGTTATTTTCAAAATTTCTAACAATTTTGATAATGTTTCTAAAAATGAGGATCAAGAAACATAAAAAGTTGTTAAATACTTAGGTTTCTTAATAAAATTAGAAATAAAAACGTTATCAAACAAACTTTTATTTTGTATGACTAACTCAGCACACTTCTGGTGGTAGCCATGGGGCTAAGTCTCCAAAAAGAGCCACAAGTCAACTTTCCTCATTTTTCAATGTTAAGTACCCTGGAGGATAGAAAAGACATTTCTCTTTGATTTCCTCCCTTTCTCTATTCTGACAAATATATGATATAAACCTTATATTTCTAAATTAAAATTTATATTAAAATATATAAATGATAAATGATAATAATAATAATTCAAAGTAGATGTAAAAAATACTTGTAAATTAAGTGGGTAATAAGCTTACAAAATATTGCTATTTCCAAGCATGTTTAAGCGATACAATGCCTTTATTCGAATGGTACAAGTTCATTTCTCTCCCAATCGAAACCTTTGAAAGTGAAGCAAAAACAGGAGTGGAAATAGCTGCCCACATTAATCATTAATTACACAATTAAAGAATTAATTTCAGTTACTAAAATAGCCCTTAAAATAGTTATAATATAGGAGAATAAAAGAAAAATTCAATTCCTACCCCTCAATCAATATTTACGGTATAAATTTTCAATTTCATCAAATTTAGATAAATGTTATAATTCTTTATCATTTTACTCCATTTGATGAAATTGAAAATATATACCGTGAAAATTGATCCACCTTGTCAAATTAAAAAATGAGAATTGAATTTTCCTTTTAATAGATCTCGCATGAGTGGACGAGACAATGATCATTGGCATTCAGGATTTCTTCCAGGGCCGCCGTAGTAGAAGTGGGTGCCCCATTGGTCATTGTAGGAGCTCATAATATTGTAGCAATGGTTGTTCTCCGCCAACGTTGAGATTTCTTGGACAGCACTAAGGCTATTGTCGGAGTCAACGATCTCGAGGTTTCGAAAGTAGCTAGCCTTGCCAAAGCCCTCCTCAGCGAAACGACCGGAGCCCATTTGGGTGGAGGTGTGCTCACCCCTGGCCTTTGAGTTCACCACCTCGCCGCCCCACTCCACCATGGTGGCGTGGTCGACGAGGTGAGTGAACAGTTCCGCCGGCCAATACCCTACCAAAGTATTGTCCCCAAATCCCATCCACCAGTTTCCCAGCTTTGGATCCTGTTGTTTTTTCCGGGAAACCAACAGAAACTAACTTTTAGTAGTTGATTTAAAAGAAAGTGCACATTGAGTAAATTAATAAGTAATAATAATGACTAATTTTTGTATGTTGGTCCAGGATAAAATTAACTAGTTTTACTAAGCAATACTTCATCACCTTTTACTTTAAAAAATCATAACAAAGGTTAAATAAAAGGTCTAAAATCTGTAATTTCAATTTTTGTCCACGTGCTTTCAAAATGTCTACATTTTTCGTTTTGGTCAATTTTTATTTCAAAATACTATCACAAATTTTGTACCTAACGAAAATTATTTAATATAAAACTACGAAATATTTTAAGAAATTTGTTGAGTCAGTTGTTCCAGGGAAAAAAGATTAAATGAAATTAAAACGATCACTTTTTGAAATATAAGTAATAAAATGAATATTTTCCGAAGGATTAAAATAAATAAAAATAGAAAGTTGAGAAATTAAAATAAGATTTAAAATTTAATAATATATATTAAAGAAAATAGAAAATGGAGGGCAAGGGAGAGGAGAGGAGGAAATAAAAAAAAATAACGGACCTTCCAAATGAGAATGGTGACGTCATATTGGCTGCCGGTAAATGAAGAGATGGGAGAAATCGCCGCTCCGATCGCGATTTTGCTGTTTGTTTGTACAAATCCAGCGCATAGAAGGTTGTAGCACCCCGTTGCCTGATACGCGTCACTCTGAAAAATATATATATATTTCTATTATGTTAAATTACAATTTTGTCCTCAATTTCTTCGCTATTTTAATTCAACGTGTGCTTATAAAACATGTTTTTGTCCATATACTTTCAAAATTTCTATTAAGATTCTTATACTTTTAAAAACGGATTATTTTAATCTCTTTCTTTATTTTTTAAGTTTAAATACTTTTCAAAACGTCTTTTTTGTTATTGTACTTTTAAAATGTCTATTTAGATTCTTGTACTTTTAATAAATGACTATTTTAATCTCTTCATTTTTATTTTTATCTCATTTCTATAGATCATAATTTTAACATCACACTCCACTTACTAAATTTTTTGAAATATTATCATAAATTTACATTAAATGTTTTCTATTTTGTATAAAATTTATGTTATATTTTGCAATTATATATTAAATTAGATATTTTTCAAAAGTATCTGAACCAAAATCAAAGTTTTAAAAGTATGAAATAAATAAAATTTGAAAATATAAAGACTAAAATGAACCCAACTCAAGAGTAGAGGACTAAAATAGTATTTAAATTTAATTTTTATATTATTTAAATTTGGTCTAAATAAGACCAAATTTATAATTTAACCGAGTTATTATTATTATTATATTTAATAGTAAATCAATTTTCTACGTGAATATAGAAAGGTTTTTAATTTTATTTTGATTGATGAAATATCACATTTACTTTGAATTTTGTACTTTCAATTATTTTGAAAGAGAAATTTGTCTCAAGACGTTGCACAAAAGTATGTCTAGATTTTTGTTGTTAAATTTTTTATTTTGATTAGCATAAAATTTAGAAAAATTATTTATTTTTTCTTTAAATGTTTAATTAACTTCTTGATTTGTCACAGCGAAGGCAGTAATTGACATATATCTCCAATCAAAAGGTTGAGAGTTCAAATTTTCTCTCCAACATGTCGTACTAAAAAAAATAAATAAATAACTCCTTGAATTAATGTAGACTAGAATATGATTTCAACTCATTTTAAAATAAAAACAGGAATTACTATTTTGGTGGTACAACACGATTAAGCATTTTAGACCTTTTGGTAGTTCAATTAGTTAAGATAGCAATAACTTTAGTTCAATTAATTAAATTATTACTTAAAACTTGTATATTTAAATTCTCATTCGATCAAAAGGTAATATTCTTTTGAAAAAGTTAAAATCGTTAGATCTTTTCAATTGATTTAAACTAGTTGTGATATAAGTAAAAAATTGATCTAAAATATTTCCAATACAATTTTATGAAAACACATCCAAACACTTGATCCCAATTCTTTTCTAAAATTTTATATCAACTTGGCACAAGGAGACATGAAATAAAATATCAAAAAGTCTCAATCTTGAAGGTTATATATTTAAATCTCAATCAATATCTTTCTTGTAATTTAGGTTATAATGTCACATGGTTTCTCTAAATCTAGCCTTCTAAATATATGTGATAATGTAATTAAATGTTGTGCATTTTTCAAAGTCAATAGAAAGAGAACAAACCATTTATTAATATAATCTTCCCAATATCCCAATATCCCAAAATCCAATTATGTATTTATTTATTGATTTTATTTTGATTTCAATTATTTGTGCTAAAATGTAGGAAAAATTGTAATTAATTTGAAAAATAATATAATAGTGACGAGGACTTAAACTCATTAATTTAATGTCACATGTAAAGTTGTTCAAGATTTTTTCTTAAAAAAAGGGTTAATGAAATGAAAAATTTTAAATATGACATAGAACATGTATGATTATATATATATATATATATATATATATATATATATATATATATATTCTTTTTATTTATTTATATTATAAAAATTTTAAAATGTGCTTTATGATGGTAACTGGAAAAATATTTAGATGTTTAAGATTCACTTTTTGACAAGTAAGAGAGAAAAGCATATTGTTTTTTCTTTCTTTTATGTTTTTCAAAAATCCAAAAAAAACTTTCAAAATTTTATGAGTAGTTAACATGGAAATAGATGCTGATTGGTAAAAACCTAAGTATGGTTCGTGTAACCATGTTAAAAAATTCTGATAATTAAGAACTGATCCATCATCCAAACCAATATTCTAAAAAATTGATCAATCCAACTGAAAGTATAAGGATGGATTGTGTTGTAAGCTTATTTAGTTGTCATGAGTTCAAATAAATTAAAATTTTGTAAGATAAATTGCTTCCTAGGTACATTTTCTCAAAATTAGTTTTGGGTTGGACCAAACTAACCTAACTAAAGTTATAATTAAATAAAAAAAAATACTTGTTTTAAAGATAAAGGTTATATATAGATTTATATTATGGGGCAATTTTTAAAAACTAAAACAAGGGAGATTAGAGATCTGACCGTCCAATATGTGAATAATCTTGGTCTGCTGTCCCCATAAAGCTCCGGACTGACCTGACTAGTAGAATAATCAAAACTTTAGAAAATTCAATAAATTCTAAAATACATTTAGATAAATATTTCTAATATCCTAACACTTAAGTATATTCTGTCACAAGAAAAGAAAAAAAGAAAAAAAAATACAGTTAAATATAAATTTAGAACTTGTACTCTCATAGTTCTGTTTATTTAGTGTCAGTTCCAATAACATTTTTTTAATTTTAATTTTAATAAATCTCTAGTCTAGGTGGATTAGATTAACAAGTGATAATTTGATACAAATGTGAAATAAAGAAGTAAACTCTTTAATAAAATAAAGGCGAACAAGCCCAGAAAAAAAGGGAAGATATCCTTTAGTCCCTTAGTTTTGAGTTTAATTTCCACGTGGTCTCTAAGTTTCAAAATATTACCCTTTTACTTTTGAATTTTGAATTTTGAATTTAATTTCCATTTAGTCTTTAGATTTCGAAGGGTACACTTTTATCTTTGAATTTTGAATTTAGTTTCCATTTGGTCATAGGTTTCAATATTTCAACATTTTTATTCCTAAGTTTTCACTAATGCTCATTTTCGTCCTTGACATAACAGAACCAACAAAATGTTGATGAGGATGACGATAGATCCATTTAATATTAATTAATATTATTTTAGACTTACCTGATAAAAATAATTTTTTATTACATTTCAATAGGCCATGGTAAAAAAAACTAGTAAAAAAATCTCGGCCAACATTCTATTATAGGATAGTATGCTAGAGAGATTTCTTTTTCCGGCCAGAACACCTATTGAAATATTATGTAAATTATATAATTTATATGTAGACACATAACTTAATATTAAATCGATCTAGTAGTATCAAGATCAACATTTTACTGGGGTTAACAACGGTTATGTTATATTCAGGGACCAAAAGTAAGAATTAGTAAAAACTTAAAGGTTGGATCAAATGGAAACTAATCTCAAAATTTAAAATTAAAAGTGTTGAAACTTAGAAACCAAAAAAAAACCAAACTCAAAATTTAGAGGATGAAGTATAACTTTTTAAAGTAGATGGATCAAATAGAAACTAAATTCAAAATTTAGGGACAAAAAGTACATTTTACAAAGAAAAAATGAATTGAAGCGGAATTGCATAATACATTTTAAATACAATTTTTTTGGTTCATTTACCTCTACTTATCAAATTCGCAGGTTCATTTGTGCTCTTTTGTCAATCGTGTTAATGACATAGACTTTTCTTTTTAATACAACATAGCCTTACCTCCAACTAAAATTGGAAGTTCGGAAACATTATTAAAACTTTTAATAATTGAGAAACTAAATAAATACAAAATATCCTCTAAAAAAATACAAAATATTTATAATCTTTTATTTAAAAGACCAATGAAATAATTTCGAAAATTGGAGCGGAAAAACAATACGGGGGAAAAAAATAAACAGCTTTGGATTCGACGCAGTTGAAACTCTTGGAAGTTGCATTAATCCAACAAGCTTAACAAAAAAAAAATGAAAAATGAAAAAACTTAATTTAAAAGATATTATAAATAAATAAAAGGGGTATTGGATTGTGTGCGGGAGGGTGTAGGAAATGAAAAAAATACCTGCCAACCAGCTTCTATGCTGTTGAGATCTGAGCCGTCGAATGATCCCGAGAGGATCCAAATCTGGGAGAGGCTGAACTCGTTGACCACTTGGATTGACGGGTCCCACACGTTTATTGTCGCCTTCGCTCCGTACATCTCCTGCGAGGATCCTGTGTACGCGATCGCATGCTGCAAGTTTGTGCAACCGCATATCAGACGGCTATGATCATATCAAATTTGATGTCCTCAGATCAAGAAAATAGTAGGTGTTCGGCATTTAGCCAACAATTAAACGGAATTAATTATTCAACAATAAGCCCAGCTTTCCATATTTGGAGATAAATTCTAATAGAAAATGTGTTAGTAATGAATATAAAAGTAGATATGTCCCGATCGAGTTTAGCGATATTGAACTAGATGGTTTTGTGTTTGAATTTTTTGCAGTGTCGCATTTATTATCTTTTAATTGACAACACCAACTCTTTTGACCAGTCAATTTTTAATTAATTTGTTTAGATAATGATTAAATTTTATTTTTGGAGTTGGAAAATTTCTAAAACGATCTAGAAATGATATGTTAATAGTTTTTTAGGAAAGAGAAATGTTTTTTTTTTCCTTTAAGATTTGGGAAAAGTTTCACTTCATCTCTAAGTTTTATGTATATATAGTACTATAGCAATTTAACCACTAAAGTGTAAGAAATATTTTTAATTAGTCTTTTAATAAAAAGGAAAAATCCAGCTACAATAGTTAGATGAGTATGGAACCTTAGCATTTTTAGTCAATTTTATGTAACGTTAATTTGATATTATCTCTTTTGCCAATATATAAAAAAGTACAAATATGTACAATAAAAAAAATAAAATTAATATACATACTACGTCATTTGAAATAAATTTACTTTGTCAAATTAGAAATCGTTCAAAACATTAAGTTATAAATTTAATCTCGAAACTTTTGTAGTTACTTTCTAATAATTAAAATTTTCATGTCTATGAAGTGTCCACCAAGAGTATAATTCAATTAGTTAAAACGTTATAACCTCGACTAAAAGGTCAATATTCAAATCTCTAATCCTATTACTTTGAAATTTGGAAAATGAAAGTAAAAACTTTACCAAAACAAAAAGAAAAAAAATCAAAAGTGTATTTATATCTTTTTTTATTATTTTTATCGATAAAAATTTAATGATACACCTAGCTAACAAATATAGAGTTGAAGTGAAGTAACAGATTCATAAAAACTCCCATCTTTCAACTTAAATGCTAGAAAAAAAGTAGGATGGGGAAGGAAAAGATACGCTACCTCGTGACCATTCCCGCTGACCACATCAGGAGCGTCCATTTGGCGGTCAAGAAGAATCGGCCGTCGTTTCTTGCCAAAGTCAAACAAAGACTTGGCTCGTAGCACGTCGTTCACTGTGCTCCGTCGCACTGGAATACTCCCCTTCGGACACCGTGTTCCGTTCACACGCCAAGTTTGCCATGCACCTCCCGCACCTGATCCCCGCCTCCCTTCACTGCCATCGCCATCCTTTACTTCATTCTTCTCCTTCATCTTCTTCACTCTTGGCCATTCCGTTGGCCCTCTCTACAAAAATAACACAATTTTTTTTAATTTCAGCTAATTTTAATTTATTTGTAGTTTATTAAATTTAAAAAATAGTTATTTTCATCATTGTCGTTATTTTTCTATCGATTTATGTTCTATATCATAAACGATTGCAGCTTCAAGAACATTTAAAGAGGTTGGAACAATCTGGCTAGAGTTTAGAAATGTCTTTTAAAACGTATAATCAATGGTTATTAGAAAGGCAAATAAAAATTGGATCTACATTAAAACGTATAATCAATTGTTAACATGTAATATGCATATTTTATTAAATAGTTGATGGCAAAATGATGACAACTAAAATATAATTATCTTTTAAAAATTTGAGGACTAAAATAGAATAAATATGAAATTTCAAAAACCAAAATAGGACTCAGAAGTTTATTTTATTTATTTTTTGTGAGATAAAGAGAAGAAATTGGACCTGAATCTTGTGGTTCTTCAAGAGGGGATGATCAAGAGCCGGCTGTTTTCGTTTATGAACACAATCTATAATATCACCATCAGGGCTCTGAACAAGAAAGAAAAGAAAATATTAGTAAAAATGAAAAAAAAAAGAAAAAGAAAAACCTCATTAATGTATAAGAGATAAAAATTAATAATATTAGAAACCCAAATGATAAAAAAAGGGAATATATATATAATTTGAAAAAACCAACATTTTTCATAAAAAAAGTCAACAGGAAAAAGCCATAAATTTATAGGAGATTATAAATATAATATATAGTAAATAAAAATTGAAACTTTTTGAAACCCAAGTCAAATTGAATGAAGACTAAGAGAAAAACAGAAAAAAAAAACAACAATTTTCTTAAAAAAAAAAAAGAAGTAATGTACATATTAGATAAAAATTGAAAATTTAAGAAACCCAAATAAAAGAAAAAATGGAAGTTATAAGAGAAAAACAGAAAAGAAAAAAGAAAACAAAATCAACCATTTTCTTCAACCTAAAGACAAAGAACTGACAAAAGCCAAAAAATTAAACAATTTTCTCAAAATACATAAATCTTTTTTCGATTTCCAAGAATCAATGCTCACAAGCACAGGGTTTGAACCGTAGTTGGTGATACCACGAGGCTCAAGTCCAAGACGTGAGATACATAAAAATGGAAAGAAAGAAGAAAAAAGAGTGTTATAGATTGACCTGAATGGTGAGAAGAGGAGGCTTGTTAATGTTGTCCAAATGCCTTTGAATCCTGTCCAATCTCAAGCTGCTGACTTGTTTATATGTATAATTCAGCCCAAAAACCAGACTGAATCTTTCAAAAACAACAAGAACAAGAGCAAGAGCAAGAGCCAGAGGAGGAGGGCTCAAAAAAAATCTCTTTCCACACCCCATTTCTCTAGAGAGAGAACAAACAAGTTGTAGAGAGAGAGAGTTCAATGAACAAAAACACCATTAAATTAAAGGACTTTCAGCATCAAGATCATGATTGCATTGGATTCAGATGAATGGGAAGAAAAAAGAAAAAGAAGAGAGAGAGAGAGAGAAGGGAGAGAGAGAGAGAGATTTAATAAAAATTTTGAAACCTACCAAACTGAAACAGTCCCCTCCTCTTTTTATTACACTCATATTCTCTCCTTCTTCAATGTGCATATCTGTCATCTCTCTTTGCCATTAATACTTTCTTCAAACTCCACACCTTCCCACTTTTTTTCTTTCCCTTCTACGTTTCTCCTCTTTCTCTCTCTAGATCTCGTGACCGCCACGAGCGATCGAGGGAGGACGGAGAAATTACTCTTTAATTATTAATTTGTCTTAGATTGAGAATGTCGTATGAAAAAGTTCGAGTTAAATGTATGTACTCACGCGTATATGCTCTAATCCGTCGTTTAGAAAATTTAAATTTTTTCTAGTGAATATTAAAATTGACTAAAGATAAGATTACAGACATAATATTTAGTGAGTTAGTAAGAAACTAGGGACGCCTCAAAGAAGAAAGTTGAAGCTTCAACTAACGTCTTAAAAATTTAAAAGGAGAAATTAGAACTTTCTTCTTTTTCGACAATAACATGTTGGGTAAAAGATATATATCTTAATCAGTTGAGTTATGTTCAGTTTAACTCGAATTTCCTTCTCTTAGAGTAGTTTAATCCCTTTGCAATTTTTACTGATTTATTAAAATCAATTTTAACATTTATAAATAGAAATGTTATATATAATAAGACCGAATTGAAACTTTTTAAAAAATAAAAACTAAATTAAAAAAATGCGACCAGATCTTTTAACCAAAATTTTAAAACAACTAAAATTCGTCCTAATTAATTTACTCCTCAAATTTTCAAAAACTTCAAAATTATACCTACAAAAAGTTACAAGCATAGAATTTTGCCTTTCTATATGAAAATTTTTGGCTCCACCTTTTTTATTTTTTATTTTTGACTTTAGTTGTAAACCTCACCCAAGTTTCACTTATTTAGAATGGTTTCAAATTCCTTAGGGTGGTGGCACGTGCATTGTCTCCTCATTGTTCAATACTTTTATATCCAAATAGGTATATATAATTGGGAATATGATATGTTACCATTTCCTTCCTAAATTTTTTGCTTTGGGTGATGTCCTAAATTCAAAGGCATTGGTTTATATTAAAAATTTAAATTGGACTAAGGAACTTCGTGTTTCTAGTACTCTTTAAGACTTTAAACGTTGATGATTTGTGTTGGACATCGATTAACAAAATGGAGATGGAGATCATGTCTGTCTGAATGAGTTTACTGTTGTTCTTGCTGGAAAAATAAGAATGGATCCCGTTGCACTCTAACCCCATTCGCGCAGAAATTTGTAGGATCGGGAAGGTCTTCACTTAGCCATCTAGCTCAATTTTCACCAAGTGATTATCGAATCCAACTCACTCATAACCATCAAAATGATGAAAGGAAAAATCGAAGACCTAAGTGAGGATGAAGCTTTGATTTATGATATATCCGCAACTCTTCCTCCATTTTGCTCATGTCCCAAGAAAGGGCGAACTCCCTAGCCCATAAATTAGCATATAAAGCTTTGTCTTCTCGTGTGAATTTGAGTTTGATTTCTCAAATGAAGCATTTATTTTTTTCCATTAATGAAGTTTTTTTGTTTCCCTAAAAAGAAAGGTATCTTTAAGGCTATTTTTTATAGGTGTCTCTTTTTAAATAAAGCATAGTGTTTGAGAATAGTGGTTTTATTAGCCAGAGAGAATTGGTAGAATTTGTGTTGAATAATCATTTTTAGACCTTTTATTTATGTAGCTAGAAAGTGTGTCTAGATTTTGTAGGGGAAAATTGTGTTGCTTAGTTTTATATATATATATATATATATAGTTCTGAGTGTAGCTAGAAATTGTAGATTGAATTTAGTTTGGGTCCTAAATAGGTGAACAAATAGTGTGACCTAAGGTAAGGCGAGTTTGTTTTAGATATGATTTTTGGAATGTACGTGAAAAAAATATACTTTTTAGTCATTGAAAACTTTGATAAAGCTTCATATTACATGTTTGATTAGATAATAAAAAGTAATTTTAAAATTTAAGGATCCGTTTGGTAATGTTTCCATTTCTTGTTTCTGTTTTCTCATTTTTAATAAAGAAAAATAGAATTATAGTACTTCAACACCCATGAATTTAAGAATGATCAAACAATATTTATATTTGTGTACTTTTGAAACAAATTGGAAACATAGACAAGAAACTTGTTTGAATTGTTTTCAAAATTTATATATAATTTTGACAAGGTTTCCAAACAATGAGAAACAAATAGACATAATTAGTTGTAAAATGCTTAGGATTCTTAATGAAATTGGAAATGAGAAACAAGAAAGGAAAACATTACTAAAGGACCTAAATTGTTTAGATAACTATGCTCTCGTTTCTCTTTGTTGTTTTTTGTTTTCTTAATAAATAAAAATTATATTGTGTTTGGTGAGTGTTGTTGTTTCTTTTTCTATTTTTTTTATTGAAAAAGGAAACATAGAATTGTTTAATATGACCATTTTTATTTTTGGTTCTCTAAAATTTTAAATTATAAAAAGTAAATTTTTTTATGAAAATTAATTTATTAAATTAAATATTTAATTTTTATGTTATATTTATTTATGCATTTTATAAGTCAATAATTATAAAATAATAGTTTTATTTCTGTTTTGGAAAATATATTGAGAACAAGAGTCAACAAACAAGAAATTTCTTGACTTTATTGTGCCCAAAATTTCTACACAATTTTAGAAACGTTTCATTAAAAATAAGAAATTAGAAACATTCATGAATATATTAATTTAATAATATTGAATTTATTAAATTAATTTGACTGTTGACTAATGTTAAAATGATGTGGAATTTAAGTTGCTCATTTGGCAAAATATATTAATTTAATAATATTTGTTCTAATTGAACTTCTTCCAATCTCCTCCACTTTCTCCGCCTCCTTCGACGCACCTTGCCGTCGCCCGCATATATCATCTCTCCTTGCCACCATCCTTCTCATTGTCAAACTTTGCCATGTCGTCGTCAAAGAACTAGTGCTCGATCACACTAGGAATCTTCCTCATTCCACATCTGGACTAGGTATGCTGGTTCCTCATTAGATTTCAAACAAGGAAAGGTTCCTCGTTCTAGATTTGATGAGTAATGAGCATTCCGTGTCCAGATCAAACAAGAAATTTCATCGTTCCAAAGAGGAACGAGCATTCCTCGTCTAAATCTAACACGAGGAAGATTTCTTGTTCGATTTGGATACAAGTTCCTCAATGATAGTATGATGGAGACAAAGGATTACGACGAACATGTGGTTTAACTTTTTGGCAACAGAAGGTTTTCGAACGAATAATGAGAAACACTAGCAAGGATTTTGACGACGACAACGAAAGAGTGTCGATGATGGTGCAACAACAGTTGACGAGGATAGAGCCGGTGAGCCGTGACAAGTTTAGTGGAGGGGAGGAAAAAAGAGAAGGAGAGAGGAAAGAGAAGAAGAGTAAGGATCGGAGATAGGATGTCCAACCAACAATTAACTATTATTAAGAGTTGATAGTACCAAATCAGCAAAGTAATAAGTTAACCAATGAATATCATCTTTAGTCAACTAACAATACTTCATTAATTTTGTTTTTCCAAAATCTTCGAGATAAGAAGTGTCCATTTTGAAGCCTTAAAAATTAAATGGGTACCAATTTCAAGTCTTTGGATAAAAATGTATTTTGCCCTCGAATAAAATGATTGAAGTGAAGCCATGGAAGAAGGAACACGTGGGTTGATATTAAATGAGAGTAATAAGGCTTCTATAATCTATTCTCGAATCTCTCACATTGATAAGTGAGAGAGAAATTTTGTAGTCAGCCATTCATCAACTCCTACACCTGAATATTGCGTATTCTTTTAATTATAATATTGTCAACATCTATATTTTAATTTTCCAAGAAACTCCTACTCTCTACTCTTTTTCTTCTCCCATAAACATTTTTTTTTTCTTTCTACTTCCCTTTTTCGTCGCAAACAAGGCTTTAATTTATATCAGCACAATTTTGAATGACTTGGTTGAAGAAACCAACTATAGATTATGATGAGTAAAGATATTACCACACTCTTGAAAAATAAAAAGAATTAGAAAATACAGTATTTACATCATTAAAATTACAGACGACTTGTTGGAAACCACAAATTTTGTCTAGTTTGAGAGAATGAAGGTAAAAGATAAGGGCACATGCCCCTGGTCCAATGTGGATCCGTCCCTGGTTTATGGTCTTTAATTAGTATAGAGGTCTTTTTTTTCCTTCCTTTAAATTTAGTTTTTATTGTTTTAAAAAATTTAATTTAATCCTTACGTGTTAAAATTTTTCAATTTAGTCCTTCTCACCATTGTTAAATATTAAATAATTGACGGATGATCAACTTATTAGAAGAAAAATATTATTCTAAGAGAGGCCAGGATCGAACTCTCCATGAAATTCATAGTTGCATTACTTATAGCTTCCTTGTTCGTAGACAAAGCTAATTCAAAACTGTCTTTCATTCCAAGGAATTTTCTAATTTCTTCCTCCAAATATTTAAGAAATCAATAGAAAATTTAAAGTTTTATTTTCTGAAGGACCTTTTTACCCTTCTAAATTTTTGCCTAATTCGCTAAGTATTATGTCATGTTAAGTTTATTATTAACTAATTTTAATATTTACCACAGTCAAAGATTAAATTGAAAAATGTTAAAATATAAATGATTAAATTAAAAAAAACCACTCAAAGATTCAAAGACAAACACATATATTTAGCCTCATTTTGAGGGTTATTCTCTTGCTATGACTCGCGAAAAACCTAGCTATTATGTATGGTCCCCTATTTGTATTGTGGAAAAAATTATTTAGACATTGCTTCGATACTTCCCTCAATGTGAGTCCATTTCTTTTTAGTTTTTATCTTGTGTGTGTTTTTTTGAAATCTAATTGAAATTTGTTGTGGACTATGTAAAGAATTAATTCAATCCATCAATGTTAAACTTAAAATTGTGACCCTTCAATCCCACCAACTGCATTTGTTTGATCATAGAAATGACCAACTTCGTGAAGTTCAGACTCGGATGACCCATGAACGCACAATACCTGCACGCACAGAGAAAAGAC